CTCCACCTCCCCTGTTCAAGCAATTCTCATGCCTCAGCCTCCCAGGTAGGTGGGACTACAGGCACCCACCACCATGCCTGGCTAATTTTTTTTTGGAGATGGAGTCTCACTCTGTTGCCCAGGCTGGAGTGAAGAAGCATGATCTCGGCTCACTGCAACTTCCGCCTCCTGGGTTTAAGTGATTATCCTGCCTCAGCCTCCCAAATAGCTTGGATTATAGGTGACTGCCACCATGCCTGGCTAATTTTTGTAGTTTTAGTAGAGACAGGGTTTCACCACGTTGGCCAGGCTGCTCTTGAACTCCGGACCTCAAGTGATCCCAAAGTGGAGGCCTTGGCCTCCCGAAGTGCTGGGATTACAGGGTTAAACCACCACGCCCTGCCAATTTTTTTGTGATTTTAGTAGAGACGGGGTTTCACCATGTTGGCCAGGCTGGTCTCAAACTTCTGACTTCAGGGATGATCCACCCACCTCTGCCTTCCAAAGTGCTGGGATTACAGGCGCAAGCCACTGTGCCTGGCTGAAATTCTTTTTTTTTTTCCCACCCCCCCTCCCTTTTTTTTTAAGATGGATTCTTGCTCTGTTGCCCAGGCTGGAGTGCAGTGGCATGATCTCAGCTCACCACAACCTCCACCTCCCCGGTTCTCCTGCCTCAGGCTCCCAAGTAACTGCACTACAGGCATGCGCCACCGTGGCCAGCTAATTTTTGTATTTTTAGTAGAGACAGGCTTTCACTGTGTTGGCCAGGCTGATCTCAAACTCCTGACCTCATGATCCATCCGCTTCAGCCTCCCAAAGTGCTAAGATTACAAGCATGACCACCTTATCCAGCCTGTAACTATTTGAATTTAATCAGAGCCTAAGGGCAAGTTGGAGGACTTCACTCACTTACTATGGAGTCTTTAGCAAGGTACACAGGGTTGCTCTGAATTTAATGGCTTAGGGAGAATGGCATTTAGGGTATTTCCTAAACCAACTATAGAAAACCTTTGAACTGTGTTGCAAGTTATTACCCCCACCCCATATGTGCACTTTAAATTAATTTTTTTTTTTTTTTTTTTTTTTTTTGAGACAGAGTTTTGCTCTTGTTACCCAGGCTGGAGTGCAATGGCACGATCTCGGCTCACTGCAACCTCCGCCTCCTGGGTTCAAGCAATTCTCCTGCCTCAGCCTCCCGAGTAGCTGGGACTACAGGCATGCACCACCATGCCCAGCTAATTTTTGTATTTTTAGTAGAGACGGGGTTTCACCTTGTTGACCAGGTTGGTCTCGATCTCTCGACCTCGTGATCCACCCGCCTCTGCCTCCCAAAGTGCTGGGGTTATAGGCGTGAGCCACCGCGCCTGGCCTAAATTAATCTTAAATGTCAGAATGGAGTCTTGCTTCTGGTCTGCTGCTTGAAAATAACTTGATGGATGAGATTTAGAGCTAGCATTATTGTTTGCCTTAAATGTATGTTGAGAGTGAGAGCTGGCCGGGCATGGTGGCTCACTCCTGTAATCCAAGCACTTTGGAGGCCAAGGCCGGCAGATCACCTGAGGTCGGGAGCCTGACCAACATGGTGAAACCCCATCTTGGGAAAAAAAAAAAAGTGAGAGCTGTGGCCAGGTGTGGGGGCTCACACCTGTAATCCTAGCACTTTGGAAGGCCAAGGTGAACGAATCACCTGAGGTCGAGGGTTCGAGACGAGGCTGACCAACATGATGAAACCCCCTCTATACTAAATGTCCAAAATTAGCCAGGTGTGGTGGTCCATGCCTCTAATCCCAGCTACTAGGGAGGCTGAGGCAGAAGAATTGCTTGAACCCGGGAGGCTGAAGTTGCTGTGAGCTGAGATCATGCCATTGCACTCCAACAAGAGTAAAACTTTGTCTCAAAAAAAAAAAAAAAAAAGGAATGAGCTGTAATTTCTATTTTCATCGAGTTCATTACTAAAATAGATTTAGTGATAATTAAGAAAATTATAGCATAAAAGTACTTTGTTGAAGCTGAGGCATTAGTAACCTAAGCCATTGTTTGTAGAGGTAGAGAGATGAAAAACAGAAGTAACTAAAATTTTGATGACAGTTTGGTAAACCAAGGTAGGAGGATCTTTTTGAGGTCAGGAATTTGAGACCAGCCTGGGCAATATAGCGAGACCCCCATCTCTACAAAATATAAAAAGAAAAATAATAAAACTTCACCTCTGTTTTTAACTGTTTTCCTAGTCTTTCATGGAAACCTACATAGAGACATCCCCCACCTCACTAAAAACTCCCCAAAGTTTATAAAACATAGCAAATTGGTATATTAATCTCAGCATTATCCCCAAGATAAGTCATACATCATGTGAATACACATCATGTGATGTACTCTAGGAGCTAAAGTGTATCTATCAGCTAAAGTATATCTCTTTAAGTATTATTATTTTTTTTTTTTTGAGACGAAGTTTCACTCTTGTTACCCAGGCTGGAGTGCAATGGCACGATCCCGGTTCACTGCAACCTCCGCCTCCTGGGTTCAAGCAATTCTCCTGCCTCAGCCTCCCGAGTAGCTGGGACTACAGGCGTGTGCCACTATGCCCAGCTAATTTTTTCTATTTTCAGTAGAGACGGGGTTTCACCTCGTTGACCAGGATGACCCCCCCACCTCAGCCTCCCAAAGTGCTGGGATTATAGGCATGAGCCACCTCACCCAGCCCTATCTCTTTAATTATTATGGGTACGGCCGGGCATAGTGGCTCACGGCTGTAATCCAAGCACTTTGGAGGCCAAGGCGGGCAGATCACCTGAGGTCGGAAGTTCAAGACCAGCCTGACCAACATGGTGAAACCCCTGTCTTAAAAAAAAAAAAAAGAAAGAAAACTGTTCTTATGGGTCCATAAAGTATATCTCTTAATGGACTTACAATGGCAAATTAGTTACCTTTTCAAATCATTTTGAAGAGAATCTAGAATGATTGTTTCTAGTCCCTCATTTCCCTAAGCAACAACGAAAACATTATAATCTTTCTAACATTTGGGTCTTGGTTCTGAATTTTCTCTTAAAAAATGGATTGACTGTGGCTATCCCTAGTAGTTTAAAAAAACAACTTAGAGTACTGTTTTTGGTTTTTGTTTTTGTTTGAGCTGGAGTTTCACTCCTGTTACCCAGGCTGTAGTGTAATGGCGTGATCTTGGCTCACCGAAACCTCTGCCTTCCGGGTTCAAGGGATTCTCCTGCCTCAGCCTCCACAGTGGCTGGGATTACAGGCCTGCACCACCGCACCTGCCTAATTTTGTATTTTTGGTAGAGGTGGGGTTTTTCCATGCTGGTCAGGCTGGTCTCAAACTCCTGACCTCAGGTGATCTGCACACCTCAGCCTCCCAAAGTGCTGGGATTACAAGCATGAGCCATCAAGCCCGATCAGAGTACTGTTAAAGTAAAAAAATTGATTTATGAAAAGGAAAGTTCTTATAAATTTGCAGTTTTCAAAGTCAGTCTTTTTGTGCATATATTTTGCTGGCATTTTTTTTACGTTCATGTCATTTATTTCTAGTCTAAATGGATGAGCTATTTGCACTCCCACCTATAACATAAGGAAAGATTACTAGTCTACCTCCCTAATGTAAGGCCACTTAAAAGTCAGGGCTGGGCGCAGTGGTTCACAAAAGAAGTGAGGTGTGGCCGGGCTCAGTGGTTCACGCCTATAATCCCAGCACTTTGGGAGGTGGATTACTTGAGGTCAGGAGTTCAACACCAGCCTGGCCAACATGGTGAAACCCCATCTCTACAAAAATACAAAAATTAGCTAAGTGCTGTGGCAGGTGCCTGTAATCCCAGCTACTCAGGAGGCTAAGGCAGGAGAATCGCTTGAACCTAGGAGGCGGAGGTTGCAGTGAGCTGAGATTGCACCATTGCACTCCAGCCTGGGCAACAGAGCGAGACTCTGTCTCAAAAAAAAAAAAGAAGTCAAGTGAATTTGAGAGTCAGTATACTTAATAGGGTGAGCATTAGGCACTGTTGCAAATACATATTGGAATCTCTTTGACTCTAAGAAATAGTTTGAATTTATTTACCTCTTACCTCTATGTGACAGATAAGAAACTAAAAGGTACAGAAAATAGAGATATTTGATTTTTCTAAGTTGCCCCAAACTACCATTTTTTAAAAACACCTGCAAGCGTGTCTAAAACAGGAGCCTGTTAGCTCCAGCTGCCAAACCGGTTTAACAGCACTGCCTCCCTGTATTCTGGGTGAGAAGGAGCTCCGAGTACATAAATTTATCAAAGATCACTATCCCAATCATTTTAGGAAAAGTTGTTACTAATGCACTGGAGTTCTGTGCAAACCATGTACCATAAACCATGAAATGATTCAAAGTTCATAGTTCCTTCTTTGTTCCTTTGTTAATCACTGACTTCTGACTAGTGGGAGGTGCCTCCCAAGTTTGCTAATGCATTCTTTTTGGATAAGGATGACGCACAGATTGTCCTAATAAGGACTTAGATTGAGAAAGGACCGCCCCCTTCTGAGATGAGGGGACAAGTCAGAGAGAGGGCGGGCAGTTTCTTTTTTAACTAGGGATGACACAAGCATAAGTCATTTCCTTATTAATCGGTTCAAACCAGTTCTTACAGGAACTGGTGGTGATAAATGTGGGACTTCTCAGAAGTCATTCATTTTATTCTTTGTGCCACACCAGAGTACAGTATCAGCTGAGCTGGCCTTACTCTGAGGACTAACTCTTCTGCTAGAAGCTGTTCCTGATTTACAGCTCTTAGTTTCTCCCAGACATGTTGCTGAGAGAGATCTTGCTTTTCAAGGAGTTGTTAGAAGGAATATATATATATATATATATTTTTTTTTTACCATAAAGAGCTCACAGAATTTCAGCAGTTCTCTGATGTTTATATTTTATTCCTCTTCCTATCCAATTCCCTGCCTTTTGAATCCAGGTGGTAAGTGCATTTTCTTTAATGTTTTTCCTGCTTTCCTTCCCCAATGTATCTTTTTCCTTGGGCTACTGTACCCTGCTCCCAGTGCTGTCCCCGGCATAGGTCCATCTCTGCAGAAGCCATTTCAGGAGTATCTGGAGGCTCAACGGCAGAAGCTTCACCACAAAAGTGAAATGGGCACACCACAGGTGAGACTTGATTCCGGTTTCTTCTTCTCCCCTCTGGGAAGTTTCAGGCTGAAATTATATTCATAGCTCTCACATTTTTAGGCAAATAAGTGAGGTTGGTTTGCCAGTGTTCCTTGACAGAAGTTGAGCTTCTGTCTCTATGTATGCTTTACTGGGAAATATGTCTTTGTCTTAAACCAGAAAGTGTCCCCAAAACAAGGGTGGAGCCAGTGGAAAATAATGGTTCTGTTGTACAGAATGAATTGTTGCCTTAATCTTAAATGATGTATTAGATAGACTTCCCAAGTAGACTAAAAAGTTAAAATTTACAGCATAACAAAGTGTTAGACTTACTGAGGTGACTTGAATATCTCCCTTTGTTTTTGATTCTATTTTTCTTTTCACCTGTGGGAAAATGATCATTTATTTAATAAACCAAGGCTCTTATCATAGCTAAACTGTAAAACTTAAACTAAGACTGTTGGGCCAGGCACGGTGACTCACGCCTGTAATCCCAGCACTTTGGGAGTCCAAGGCGGGCAGATCATGAGATCAGGAGTTCAAGACCAGTCTGGCCAGCATAGTGAAACCCTGTCTCTACTAAAAATCAAAAATCAGCTGGTTGCAGTGGCACGCACCTGTAGTCCCAGCTACTGGGGAGGCTGAGGCAGCAAAATCGCTTGAACCCTGGAGGCAGAGGTTGCAGTGAGCCAAAACCATGCTGTTGCACTCCAGCCTAGGTGACAAAGTGAGACTCCGTCTCAAAAAAAAACCACAAACTAAGACTGTCTTTTTTGTAAATGATTTTGAGGCAAAGGGAAATGACTAGAAGTCAGCAATAACCTGATGAGTAAGCAATAACCTGAAATGGGAAACTCCCGGGAAGCACAGGTTTTTTGTTTGTTTGAGATGGAGTTTCCCTCTTGTTGCCCATGCTGGAGTGCAATGGCGTGATCTCTGTTTACTGCAACCTTTGCCTCCCCGGTTCAAGTGATTCTCCTCCCAAGTAGCTAGACAGGCATGTACCACGCCTGGGTAATTTTTTGTATTTTAGTAGAAACGGGGTTTCACCATGTTAGCCAGGTTGGTCTTGAACTCCTGACTTCAGGTGACCAGCCCGCCTCTGCTGCCCAAAGTGCTGGGATTACAGGTGTGATACTGCACCCCGCCGGAAGCAAAATTTTTTTTAATGGCCTTGCACTTTTCATGTGGCTCTCATCTGCCCTCAGTCGACCAAACATAACATCAGAAACAGATACATTTATGTTTTCAAAACAGCTCCCTCTACTGCAACAAAAATATTTAACTGTCTTGACACTATTCACAAGTATCTGCATGACAACTTCAGAGTTGAGTTTAATCAAAGACTTTATTCTCAGCCATGCGCCGTGGCTCACGCCTGTAATCCCAGCACTTTGGGAGGCTGAGGCGGGTGGATCACGAAGTCAAGAGATCGAGTCAACATGGTGAAACCCTGTCTCTACTGAAAAGACAAAAAATTAGCTGGGCATGGTGGCATGTGCCTGTAATCCCAGCTACTCAGGAGGCTGAGGCAGGAGAATTGCCTGAACCTAGGAGGCAGAGGTTGCAGTGAGCCATGATTATGCCATTGCACTCCAGCCTGGGTAACAAGAGCGAAACTCCGTCTCCAAAAAAAAAAAACACTTTATTCTTAGGTCCAAGTAGAAGAGACCTCACACTCACCCCATTCTAAACTATATGATTCAACACTGATTTTTCCATCTGACAAAGTGAAATCTTGATAGTTGGATGTAAAAAGGAGAGGAATGGAGATTTTGGAATAGCTGAGGTTGCTTACTATTCATTTTTAATTGTTTAGGCTTTGTAAGTTGCATACTTCAAGTTTTCATTATTTTCCTTAACGCATAGTAGATGATCCCCTTTTTACTACTGAACTAATGAAGCCTTTTTCATCACATTGTTCTGCATTTATTTCAACAGGGAGAAAACTGGCTGTCCTGGATGTTTGAAAAGTTGGTAGTTGTGATGGTGTGTTACTTCATTCTATCCATTATTAACTCCATGGCACAAAGTTACGCCAAACGAATCCAGCAGCGGTTGAACTCAGAGGAGAAAACAAAATAAGCAGAGAAAGTTTTAAACTGCAGAAATTGGAGTGGATGGGTTCTGCCTTAAATTGGGAGGACTCCAAGCCAGGAAGCAAAATTCCCTTTTCCAACCTCCATCAATTTTTAAAACTTTTTTCCTGAAAGCAATTTAGTCCATACTTTGCACTGACATACTTTTTCCTTTGTGTCCTAAGGTAAGGTATCCACCCTCAATCCAATCCACCTTGTGTTTTCTTAGCGTGGGCTGTGATGTGCAGCAGCAAACTTTGCAACAGAGACTGGCCTTCTGTTTGTTACTTTGAAAAGGCCCGCAAGATACAATTGGAGAATTCCCACCACACAGAAAAAGTTCCTAAGTATGTGAAATATGTCAAGCTTTTTAGGCTTGTCACAAATGATTGCTTTGTTTTCCTAAGTCATCAAAATGTATATAAGTTACCTAGACTGGATAACAGTCTTGCATGTTTATCATGTTTCAATTTAGTATTCCATACTGCCCAACCCTCTCCCACCCTCAAAAGAGGGCCATTTTATGATGCATTGCACACCCTCTGGGGAAATTGATCTTTAAATTTCGAGACAGTATAAGGAAAATCTGGTTGGTGTCTTACAAGTGAGCTGACACCATTTTTTATTCTGTATATTTAGAATGAAGTCTTGAAAAAACTTTATAAAGACATCTTTGATCATTCCAAAATTGTGTCCGTTTTCTCGAGCGTTTTTTATTTTTTACTTTTAGCTTACACCAGCTGAATGGCAGTCTTGCCTAATCCACCTGCATCAAGAATTTCTTAAGCCTTCATTTATTTGCATGAGAGAGCCCCAAAATAGGTTTTGATATGCTGAAACTGGGCTGCTACATACTGCTAAGTGTTATCTCTGGGATTGGCCTACCTGGGGATTTCTTGGTTTGTGAACACAGGAGAGGAGAGATATCTCATGCACATGAAAGGATATGGAGATAGATACTATGCATTTCTTAAAACACACACACACTCATATCTGTGTTTTCTAGCATGTACTCTGGTTTCAGCAGACACAAATGTATATGTAACCCAGTTTTCTTGCCTTTCTGTAAGTGTTTTATTCTTAATATGATTTTTTTTCCATTGGGATGTTTTTGGTTGAACTTGTTTGTTTTGCTTGAGAGGAAAATAAACAGTTTTATTTTTTTTCTTTAGGAAAATTGATACTGAGCCTTGTGTCAGAATAGAATAGAATTGGGGTTTGATCTCAACAGGCCAGAAATGCCTTTTTTTTTTAATCCTGCCTGAATGTCTGCTTGTTTTGCCTACCATCATCGTGACATCTCCATGGCTGTACCACCTTGTCAGGTAGCTTATCAGACTGATGTTGACTGTTGAATCTCATGGCAACAGCAGTCGATGGGCTGTCTGACATTTTGGTATCTTTCATCTGACCATCCATATTCAATGTTCTCATTCAAACATTACCGCATCATGGTTTATGATCAGAAACTCTGGTCCATCTGTCTAGTGGCACTTTGAGTCTTTCATGCTATAAATGCAGCATATGGAGGGAGAATTTTATGGGGAAATGCGTTTCATCTCTTTCACCTGTATTTTAGTTGGTGTTTAAAGAAAGGAAAGAGGAAAGGAAATATGAATTGTACTATTTGTACCAAATCTTTGGGATTCATTGACAAATTCATTTCAGGGTGGTGTATTATTAAAAAGAAACAAAAATCTTTGTTTCCTAAGCTGAAGTTCTAGTTGATACATCTGACTTGTGATGACTGTTTCTGCACTGTCTTTCCAATGAATTTGCTTTCAAAATAAATGAAGAGCAGCTTTCCTTCTTTCCTCTTGTAAGTGTTCAGGCGTGGCATGCTCAGAGGTTCCTGCTGGATTCCATCTGGAGTGGTGTGATAACCTTCTTTTTCAGCTGTTCGTGTCTTCCTTTCTTGTATCTACCAAAGTGGAGACAACTACATGAACCCAAAGATACACAGTACCTACTTAATTCCAATTGACGGGAGACCAGAGAATTCGCAAGTGGATGGTTTGTTATCACTGTAAATAAAAAGAGGGCCTCAGATGGATTCTATCTCTACTTTGTATCTATCTCTCATTTTGTGCCTTACATATCTGCAGGGTTTTATCATTTTCCAACTTGGTGACTGTCAAGCAATGCAACACATCAGCAGTTTATACCCTGAATTGCTGAGGAACAGCTCTCTTACAACAGACAATGTTGGCCAGGCACAGTTGCTCACGTCTGTAATCTCAACACTTTATTTATTTTTTTAAAGACGGGGTTTCACCATGTTGGTCAGGCTGGTCTCGAACTCCCGACCTCAGGTGATCTGCCTACCTTGGCCTCCAACATGCTTGGATTACAGGCGTGAGCCCCCACACCCGGCCTATCTCAACACTTTAGTAGGCCAAGGCAGGTAGATCACCTGAGGTCAGGAGTTTGAGACCACCAGCCTGGACAACATGGTGAAACCCCATCTCTACTAAAAACACAAAAAAATTAGCTGGGCATGGTGGTATGCGCCTGTAGTCCCAGCTGTTCGCAGGAGAATCTCGCTTGAACCCTGGAGGTGGAGGTTGCAGTGAGCCAAGATTGCATTACTGCACTCCAGCCTGAGCGACAGAGCGAGACTCCATCTCAAAAAAAAAGACAATGTCACATGAAAATGTGCAATGTCCGGTTTTCCCATAGTTTTCTATATTCTCTGTGTATGAGTAATCTGAAGTATGAGTCTGGGAAGGAAGGTTTTTAGTTTCATTCACATAGTGGCCACCTCTCCATTCCCTATGAATGCTAGCATGAAGTTTCTTAGATGCACTAGTTAATTACTGAAACTCCTGCACAAGCTCAGCCTCTGCCACCAAAGTGCTCTGTGCTATCTAGCCTTAGTAGGACAGCATAAGGTTCTTTTGTCATTTCACCAGTCATTCAACAGTGACTCATTTGAGTACAGATTATGCACTAGCTAAATAACTAGTTGCGCTCATATACTGAGATGGATTGTTTAGCCTGAACCATGTGTAAGACACTCATAGAGATGCCCAACCTTTTGGTGTCAAAAAGCCTTTCCATATATTATTTCAAAACCTGTTTTCCCCCATGTGTAATAGTCTATGTTAATGAAGGTTTGGGTTTCTCCCACATTGTTCATGACCTGAGAAAGTTTAAAAGAGCCTAGGTTTCTTTCATCTATAAAAATAGAAGAGATAGAAGGACAGTTTGTCTAAAGAATAAATCTGTTAACATATAAAGTACTGAAATATAGGCTGGGTGCGGTGGTTCACACTTATAATCCCAATACTTTGAGAGGCCAAGGCAGGAGGATTCCTTGAGCCCAGGAGTTCAATACCATCCTGGGCAATATAGCAAGAGCCCTGTCTACAAGAAAATAAAAAGTACAGCAATAAAAGTTACTTTTTTGGAGGGGGGATGAGTATTCGCCATGTCACCCAGGCCAGAGTGCAGTGGCACAGTCACGGCTCTCTACAGCCTTGATCTCCCAGGCTCAAGCAATTCTCTCACCTTGGTCTCCCTGGTAACGACCAGCATAAACCACCATACCTGGCTAATTTTTAAATTTTTTGTAGAGACAGGGTCTCAATATTTCGCTCAGGCCAATCTTTAACTCCTAGGCTCAAGTGATCCTGCCTTGGCCTGCCAGAGTGCTGGGATTATAGGCGTGAGTCACCATGCTGGGTATTCCCAATCAAAGACAGGCCAGGCGCAGTGGCTCCTGCCCATAATCCCAACATTTTGGGAGGCTGAGGTGAGCGGATCACCTGAGGTCAGGAGTTTGTGACCAGCATGGTGAAACTCCATCTCTACTAAAAATACAAAATTACCTAGGCTTGGTGGCACATGCCTGCTACTTAGGAGACAGAAGAATCACTTGAATCCAGGAAGTAGAGGTTGCAGTGAGCCAAGATCGCACCACTGCACTCCAGCCTTGGCAACAGAGCAAGACTGTCTCACGAAAAAAGAAAAAAAAAACTGAGCATCTGATATACATGGAAGAATTTCACAACATTGCATTCACTCCTCCAGAAACAAAGATATATTTTTAAATGCTTTCTTACTATATGTGCCCTTGTATTTTAGATACTCTGTCAAACTTTTGTTAAGTGAAAAAAAGTTGTACTAAAGAAGTTAAAGCCAGGCCAGGCGTGGTGGCTCACAGCTGTAATCCAAGCACTTTGGAGGCCAAGGTGGGCGGATCACCTGAGGTTGGGAGTTCAAGACCAGCCTGACCAACATGGTGAAACCCCGTCCTTTTAAAAAATAAGTAAATAAATAAAATAAAAATTTTAAAAAAAAGAAAACCAAAAAAAGTTTAACTTTCCCATCTGAAAATATTGATATTTTCTGATTTTTTTTCATTATAAAGAATATTGATCATCACAGTTGCTCATTCCTATAATACTAGCACTTTGAGAGGCCAAGGCAGGGAAATCACTCCTGAGCCCAGAAGTTAGAGACCAGCCTGGACAATATAATGAGACCTCTCTACAAAATATTTAAAAGCCAAGCATGACGGCATGTGCCTGTAGTCCCAGGCTGAGGTGGGAGGATCACCTGAGCCCAGGGAAGTTGAGGCTATAGTGAGCCATGATTGTGTCACTGCACTCCAGCCTCGGTGACACAATTAGACCCTGTCTCTCTCTCTCTCTCTCTCTATATATATATATATATATATATGTATATATATATATATATATACATATATATATATACATATATATATGTATATATATATGTGTATATATATATATATGTATATAAATACCAAAAAATCTGAAAAGCAAAGAGGAAAAAAGGGAGTATCAGCTTTTCATACTTGTTACAAGAAGGTCCGTCTAGAAAACCCAGTGAGATTTGCTGGGCGAATAGGTTTTAAACCATGAGAAAGCTGGGCGAGATGGCTCACACCTGTAATCCCAGCACTTTGAGAGGCTGAGGTGCACGGATCACCTGAGGTCAGGAGTTTGAGACCAGCCTGGCCAACATGGTGAAACCCCATCTTTATTTTATATATAGAGAGAGAGTAATAAAACATGAAAAAATTGTTTTAATGGCGTGCAAGGTCTTCCCCTCAATAGACAAGGGAGTCTCATGTCTGTTAAAAAAAATAGAACATCTTCATTTTATTCACAATTTTTCGAGGTGCTACAAAAAATTTAAGCAGGAGTTTTTGAAAACCAGGTTACATTGTATCTCTAACATTTATTGAAGCTTGAAGCTTCTCCAGTATTTACAAAATATAAAGGAGATACTACACACAAAAACCCTTGTGTCCAAAGTTATTTCTTTATTCTCAAAGACAACAAGAAAAGAAAGCACATCATGTACTTTAGAAGCAATTGAGTCATTTGTGTCTTGTGGACAGGAGCTACGCATCCTGTCCCTTCCCAGCAAGGCCAAGAGTTCAACTGAGGTAATGCGTTTGCACTGGGGGTGAGGCTTTGAATTGCAGCAAATAACCTACATGTATTTGCATATTTAACCAGTACTCTTAAGAAGGATTATACAATCCAGCTAATTTTTGGATGTTTAGTAGAGACAGCTGCTTACTCATTACCTTTAGAATTGCGTGGTGCTGGGATTGGCAGGTGCCAACTGCTTGCTCATTCTCTTTGACCCACTAGCCTTGCAGTTTGCTGTGTGGGTGTTGATACTCCTAAATTAAAGCCGGAGAGGGGTGGT